CCAAAGTGGGAGGATTGCTTAAGCCTAGGAGTTTAGACCAGCCTGGGCAACATGGCAAAACTCCGTCTCTACAAACAATATCAAAATTAGCCAGGCATGGTGGTATGCACCTGTGGTCCCAGCTGCTTGGGAGGCTGAAGCAGGAGAAATCACTTAAGCCCAGGAGGTTAAGGCTGCAGCGAGCTGTGATTGTGCCACTGCACTCCAGCCTGGGTGACAGAACAAGACCCTGTCTAAGAAAAGAAAATAAAAAATAAAAGGCTAGTCATAGGTAGTGGTTACATGGTTGTGTTCTCTGTATGATAATGCTCTGGAGCAGCACGTTTGTCTTTTTCTGTATGTAGGTTATATTTTAATGAAAAGGTTTTTAGAGATAGAGTGGGAGGCCTGGAGTTGGAGACAGTGAATACAGATAACTTTTTTGAGGGATTTTGCTATATAGGGAAGCAGGGAAATGGATGGTAGCTAGAAGAGGAGTCTGGCCAACAGAGGGACTTCATAAAGCTGGGACAGGTAATAACATGCTTCTGTGCTGATGGGAGTGCTCCAGGAGAGGGAAAAGTAGTCATACTTTTTTCCCTTCACATACTTTTTCATTTCACTCAAGGACATCACTCCAGTAATTCTTCCCTGAGGGAAAAGTCAGAATTACTGGAGTGATGTCCTTGAGTAGACAAGAGAGAATGTGGACATAGCTGCAGGTGGTGGGTAGATGTGTTACTCAGAGCATGTGGAAATTCTCTTTTGATCCTTTCAATTTTTTTTAGTGGATAAGAAGCAAAGTCATCAGTTGAGAATGAGGATGCTAAAGAGGTATAGGAAGTTTGAAGAGAGAAGAAAATATATGAAATTATAGTTTAGGAAACAGTGGGCTAATGAAAGGACTAGGGGAACTTAGTATAACTGCCAGGAATTAAGGCTTATTTATTTAGAGGAAAATATACTTCACATGGTTGGATATTTGATGTTTTTCTCCAGTAATGCTGAACTGCAGGAGAAGAGATACGGAAAAAGTGGAAAGGTTACTTAATCAGCCAGAGATGGAGGTTTTTCTGAGTGTGTGGTGATGTAAGAGGAGAACAAGGAAGTTGAAGGCATAGCAAAGGAATGATTAGAATGATTGATCATAGAATTTAAAGTGGGCAAAAACAACAGGACAATGGGGGAGAGTGAATAGAATTGTAGATTACTGTGGGGTCAGAGGAATGTTGGAAGTGAATGTCAGCTGGAAAGAGGAGGTCAGAAAGACGCTGAAAATTGAGACTGTTGAGCAATCTTGGTAAAGAAAATGTCTAGGATATGATCATGGGTGTGGCTGAGGTAGAGTGGTGGGCAAGCTCACTGGAGGAGAGTTGTTCAAATCTCCAAGTGTTGAAATCTCCAGGAATTAAGATAAGACTAATGTACGTCTTTCGGTTTCCAGTCTGGCATATAAGAAGCTTGTAAGTCACCATTTTGTCCTAACAACAAGTGAAAAACTGAACAAACCAAAGAATCAAAACTCATCTTACATCCATAGGAGAAGCGAGGTTGCATGGCAAACTGCTGTCCGTCCCCCAAACTGGAGAAACCAACAAGCAAACAAAGATAATCACAACTTCCCAGAGCAGAAATCCAAAAGTAGCAACCTCCACAGGAGCTGGTGGTGGGGTAGGGGAACCTGAACTCTTGTTGATGAATTGCTGGAGGTTCCATGTTAAAAACTCCAGGTGGGCCGGGCACAGTGGCTCATGTCTGTAATCCCAGCACTTTGGGATGCCGAGGTGGGCAGATCACTTGAGGCCAGGAGTTCGAGACCAGCCTGGCCAACATGGTGAAACCCCATCTCTACTAAAAATGTAAAAATTAGTCGGGCATGGCAGCATGCACCTGTAGTCTCAGTTACTTGGGAGGCTGGGGCAGAAGAATCACTTGAACCCTGGAGATGGAGGTTGCAGTGAGCCAAGATCGTACCAATATTCTCCAGCCTGGGCAACAGAGTGAGACTCTGGATTTTTGTTTTTTTGACAAAAAACTCTAGGGGTATCCAGTGTGGGCTCCCAACATTTTTGTGAGTTTTACCTTCAGGAGCTGTTCCTCATGGTGAAAATTAGAGAAAAATCACCTCATGCTTCCAATAAGGGGAGGGGAAAGGGAACCACTTTAAAATATGCCAGAGCATTCTGTTCTTCTTAACAAGGTCTGACCTCCTTCAGGAGGAACTGTTTAACCAGAGATTAATTTGCTGGGGCATTATCAGAGCCTAACTGACCTGAGGAAAGGTAAATACTCAACTTCAGCCATTCTAGCCATCCTGTCCCACCTAAGGGAGAGAGAGGAACTGAGAAGCATGTGTAAAGTTCAGTCTCAATATGGTCTTATTGAGGTATAGTCTTAGTAAAAGACCAAGACCTCAACATAGGACTGTAGAATGCTTCCTTTCCCCCAGCACCTTACCACCATGTAATAAAGGCTTAATGACAGCTCTTCCTTTTACCCGTGTATCTCATGTTGGGCTATCAAGAAAATATTGCGAGATATACTAGAAGGTAAAAGACAGTTTGAAGAGACAGAGAAAGCATCAGAACCCCTCAGCTAGAATAATCAGACTGGAAATTTAAAACAACTGGGATTAGTATGCTAAGGTCTCTAATGAACAAAGAGCAAGTAAGATGTGCAATATAAGCAGAGGGCTGGAAATCCAAGAAAGAAACAGAAATGCTAGAGATAAAAAACATTGTAACAGAAATGAAGAATACCTTTTAAGGACTTCTTAGTAGACTGGATATGGCTGAGGAAAGAATCTCTGAGCTCTGGGATCTCAGTAGAAACCTCCAGAACTGAAAAACGAAGAGAAAAAGAACCAGAAGAAGAAGAAGAAGAAAAAAAAAAAAAACAGAAAACCTGAACTGTAATATAATATCTAAGAATTGTGGAACAACTACTAAGAGTATAACGTGTAATGGGAATACCAGAAGAGGAGAGAAAGGAGCAGAAGCAATATCTGACTGAGGATTTCCCCACATTAATGTCAAATACCAATCCACAGATCTAGGAAGCTCAGAGAACACCAAATATGATAAATGCCAGAAGAACTTGACCTACGCCTGTCATTTGCAAACTGCAGAAAATAAAAAATAAAGAACAAATACTGAAAGAAGCCAGAGGGAAAAATCCACCATACCTATGAATAGCAAAGATAATAATTACATCCAATCTCTTTTCAGAAACCATGCAAGCAAGAAGAGAGTGTAGTAAAATGTTTAAAGTGCTGAGAGAAAACACCCACCAACATAGGATTTTATACCCTGTGAAATTATCCTTTAAAAATGAAAGAGAAATAAAGACTTTCTCAGACAAAAATTGGCAGAATATGTCATAGACTTGCAAGAAATGCTAAAAGTTCTTCTAGAGAGAAGGAAATGGTAGAGGTCAAAAACTCTGATGTATATAAAGCAAGTGAGAGCATTGAAGAGGGAATGAGTGAAGGTAAAATAAGTTTTATTTTTTTTAATCTAATAGGTAACAGTTTGTTTAAAATAATAACATTGTATTCAATTACATATGCTCATGTATTATAATTACTTATGTGCTCATATATAAGTGAAATGAATCACCATGTAAGAAACAGGAGATAGAGATTAGGATTATCTTGTTATTTAATGGTACTTGTACCACCTGTGAAGTAGTGAAGTGTTATTTGAAAGTGGACTTGGATTAATTGTAAATGAATATTGCAAACGCTAGGACCACCACTAAAGTAAAACAAAAATACAACTAATAGCTAAGAAAAGAGACAAAATGGAATTATTTAAAATGCTCAGTTGGTGGAAGACAAAAATAGGAAAAAAGAAGAAGGGCAACAAATAGCCGTTTCAGATATGGTAGATATTAATCCAACTATGTCAGTCATTACTTTCAACATCAGTAGTGTAAATGCACCAATTAATGATAAAGATTGTCATAGTGGATGAAAAAGTAAGACCCAACTATATGGTGTCTACAAGAAACCCACTTTAAATATAAAAATACATATACCTATAAAGTAAATGAGTGGAGAGAGATATACCATGGTGGTGCTAATTGAAAGAAAGCAGGAGTAGCTATATTAATTTCAGACGGAGCCAATTTAAAGTTAAGTTTTATTAGGTAAATAAAACCTGAGTTTTAATAAACTTAAGTTTTAAGTTCTAAAACTTACATTTCAATAAAACTTAATATAACTTAAGTTTTGCTGATATTGGGCTGTGTATTCCAGAAATCACAGTGTAAGGGTCAGGAATATGGGAGATGGGTGCAGGTTAGGGAGCATGCAGAGCATTATGGGGATCAGTGTATAGGTTATGAAGGATAACTTTTGAGTTTGGGACTTGTGGGCACAGACATAAATGAAGGGCAGGGTGTAATTAGTCCTGGCTGACTCAAGATAGCGGTGGTGAGGCTGTGCGTGTTTGGAGATGGTCAGCTGTATTGTCTATGGCTCCCTCTGTCCTTTTCAGCTTGAGATGAAGAGGCCTGAGGCTCATTCTTGACTCCTGCTGGGGAAGAGGTTGTTTTACTCCAAGTATAGAGCTCATTGTTGACTCCTGTTGAATGAGAGTAGAAGGCCAGTTAAATTTTATTTATTAATTTGATAGCAAATATTGGTTAAACCTTCATCTTGTTATTTGTAACTCTTTATCCAGTATCTTCTCTTTATAGTATTACAAGAGGTAATATTGTAAGACCTTTCTTCAAAACTTGTGAAGTTGTTACTTAAAGGAGCATTATATAATGACATTCTAAACATTATAGTGTAAAGTTTATGAATGCCTTTTTGATAAAGCATGCAGAAGAGTTAAGCCTAAATTAAAATCTGAAATACTTGGGTATAAAAAGAAGTTTTTCCTTGAAGCTTTCTGTATAAAATATACTAGTACTTAGAATTCTAAATCAATGTCTTTATTTACAGTTATCAGGGAATATCCTAACTAGCTGAATAGTAGAGCTTGAAAAAAATGACAAATATTTTTTCCCCTTAGTTGGTGCTTCCCGTGCTGCTGTTGATGCTGGCTTTGTTCCCAATGACATGCAAGTTGGACAGACAGGAAAAATAGTAGCACCGGTAAGTGTTGCAATAAAATATGCTGTACCAAATGTTATAGGGATAAGTACTGTATGTATTTGTTGAACAGTGATCTCAGTGATTTATCTTACTCAGTGTTCCTGAGCAGTTAGCCAGTATCATGGTGAATATGTCATTTTCACAAGGTCTGTGTAGTTCTTGGTCTCGGTAAAATGCCTAGCAGTTCTTAAATCCAGCTTATTTTTCAAGTATTTTAAAGCAGTGGAACATTTTATCAAATTAAGTCGTATTATATCAAAACATTGATAAAAGCAGCATTTTATCAACTCAAATTTATAAGTTCACATTGATAGCATTTATTTGCCATAAAGCCTTTAGAGAGTATAAATTCAGTGAGAACAATGAACCTATTTTAATGAACACAGAATTTTGAAATTGGGAGCTGTGAATGACAATTTTAGTCTTACATCTTCCTGAACACCAAGTTTGTTTCTGTATTTTGTCTTATAGTATGAATTCCAGAAAATTCTGTTTTACATAGATAAGTGATACTAGAATATTCTTCAGTTAAGCCTATCTAAAACTTAAAAAGGAAGAGCAGGAAATTTTGGTCTCAAAGTTGAATCACTAACAGTTGATAATGACTGTTTATATTTCTTAGGTGATACAGATTTTCAGTGAATAGGAGTCTCAGCCAGTTTAAACTTGTATAGTATGCGGGAAAACATGTTTTTTATGTATTTCAAAACAATATGTAGTCTTGTCCATTAAAAAAAAATCATACATTCCAGTGCTTTATTCTATGAGATATTCATTCACAATTTTAAGATACTGTAGTCAACATTTTCAAGGCTTATTTTTGAAGTTTGTTTTGAAGTATTTGTTCAAGTCTTTTGCCTGTTTAAAACTTGAGTTTTTTATCTTCTCTTTGTAGGAGTTTTTTATATAACGTATATAAAAATTCTTTGTCAGATGTGTGTTGTATTTTTCCCATGCTAGAGCTTCCCATTCATTTTCTTTTGATGAGTGGAGATTCCTAATTTTGATAGTCTAATGTACCAGTCTTTCTTCTTATGGTTAATATGTTTTGTGTTATTCAACTTACTTGAAGTCAGAAAAGAAGATTTAAAGCTTTAAATACATACTAGAACTACTCATAAATTAAGTCACATCATCATGTGGCCTGTTTGCTTGTCATACTGAATTAGGCTGTGAGAGTGGATTTATTGAGCGGATGAGCTTGAGCCTTCCTTGACATTTAATGAGCTCTAGCACACATGCATATACATATGTATTTTAAGAGACAAAGGTCTTGTTATGTTACCTGGGCTGGAGTGCAGGGGTTGGTCACAAGCATGATCATAACACACCACAGCCTTTTAACTCTTAGCCTCAATTAATCCTCCCACCTCAGCCTCTTGAGTGGCTGGGACTACAGGTATGTGCTACCATGCCCACTGGCACACACATTATTTGTGGAAATCTTTCAATTTTACATGAGTAGACATCTGTAGGCCTGATTTCATAAAAGATCAGCAGACTCACAACCTTCTTAACCAAAAATATGTCTACAAGAAATTCAGGCTGGGCACGGTGGCTCATGCCTGTAATCCCAGCACTTTGGGAAGCTGAGGCGGGCGGATCATGAGGTCAGGAGATTGAGATCATCCTGGCTAACATGGTGAAACCCTGTCTTTACTAAAACTACAAAAAAATTAGCGGGGCGTGGTGGCACGTGCCTGTACTCCCAGCTACTGCGGAGGTTGAAGCAGGAGAGTTGTTTGAACCCAGGAGGCGGAGGTTGCAGTGAGCCGAGATTGTGTCACTGCACTCCAGCCTGGGCGACAAGAGCAAGACTGTGTCCCCCCCCCAAAAAAGAGGAAATTCAATTATATACACTGAAGTGACAGAGACTTATTTTGACTGACAGAGAGCGTTTGTAGTTATCAAATAGAAGAGTGGCAGGGAGTGGCTGGTGGTATCCTTTCCTATATTGAAAATAAATGGCATACAATCAGCATTATTCAGTATTACTCTTATGGATATAGAACCATTGCAACTTTTTTTCATAAGGAAATGTATTAAATGCTTTGAAGACTTCGACATAAACTGTACAGCCTCCGAGAGAATTTTGATTCATTAACTTGGGTGTGTGTGGGTGTGTGTGTATATGTGTATATACACACACACACATACACACATATGTGTATGCATATATATGTGCATACATATATACACACATGTATGTACATATATACATATACACACATAATTTATGTATGTACATTTTGTTAAGGATCTGAAACTATTTTTGGAAACTATACCTCAAATTTGCAGAAAACTTACAGAACAAAAAACCTTTATTTTTATGGGCCATTTGAGTAAGTTGCTGTGACCATCCCCAAATATGTTATATAGCACATTCTCCTAATAACCACAATACAACTTTTTAAATTAGGATATCAACATTGAGACATAATACCATCTAAGCATCAGACCGTGCCATTCAGGTTTGGCCTATTATTCCAAAAATGTCCTTTATAGCAAAAGGATAGTGCAGAGTCACATGTTACATTTTAACTGTCATGTGTCCTTCAATCTTAAATATTAATGGTTCCACAGTCTTACCTTCACTTCATGAGGGAACTGTGAAGATTACCAGACAGCTGTTTTATAGAATATCCCTCAATTTGGATTTGTCTAATGTCTTCAGTTTACGTTATATATCTTGAACAGGAATATCACAGAAGTGATACCTCATCCTATCAGATGGTATACAATTTCATTTGGTCTTTCATTAATGATTTTCACTTTGATTAAGGCAGTATGTGCCAACTTCTCCATGGTAAAGCTACTTTTCCCATTGTAATACATATTTTATATGGAGGTACTTTGAAATGATGTAAATATCCCAGTTTTCCTCAAACTTTTTTTTTTTTTTTTTTTTTTTTTTGAGACAGTCTCTCTCTGTTGCCAAGGCTGGAGTGCAGTGGTGTGATCTCGGCTCACTGGAACCTCTGCCTCCAGGGTGCAAATGATTCTCATGTCTCAGCCTCCTGAGTACCTTGGATTACAGGCATGCACCAACCCACCCAACTAATTTTTGTATTTTTAGTAGAGACTGGGTTTTGCCATGTTGGCCAGGCTCGTCTGGAACCCCTGGCCTCAAGTGATCCACCTGCCTCGGCTTCCCAAAGTGCTAGGATTACAGGTGTGAGCCACCATGCCCAGCCATAAACTTTTGATTTATTCATTTATTTATATCAGTATGGACTTATGGTACCTATTTTATTCAATGGGCAAAAATCTATGGTTGTCATTATTATTGATGTACGAATTGTCCCATGTTTGGCTAGTGAGAGGCCCTCTGTGTCTTTCTGACGTGTTCTCATCATTCTTTGAATCTTTTTTTACTTCCTGAAGACAAGATGTTCCAGGCTCATTTTGTATTTTCCTATCCCATCTCTGGAACCAGTCATTTCTCCAAGGAATCCTGGATCCTTTTGCTGAAGAAAAGTATTTAGAAGCCAATGTCTCAGTGCTAGTTACGCTGTTGAGGTGTCACTGCTCCCATGACATCTCAGTGAAAAAAGCTAGAGAATGTGTGTGGGCATGTGTATGTCTAGGCAAATATATGCATATATATATTTATATACATATACAAACACATTTACATTTTATTTCTATATGAGTTGTGTATGTTGAAAACCGTGAGTGTCCACTGATATCTCCAGTTCTGGTCTCATACCATAGGGTTAATTCTGGTTTTCTCCCTTTTCCTATTTGTATATGCCTTTCTCCTATGGTGAGAAACCTAAGACACTGCCAGTACTCTACCCTGCACAGACGCCCTTTTTGCCTCACTTGAGCTCCAACACCTGGAACCAAACAGTCTTCCTGTATAGATACCCTCCCCACCCTACTTGGACTCTGGCATATCTGTCTAGGTAGCTGTTTCCCAAGGTGGCTGCACAATTTTACACTCGTACCAACTATTTATGTGGGTTCTAGTTGCTCCTCATTTTCACCATTTGGTGTTTTATACATTTTGGTGGATGTTATTGGTTCTAATTTGCATTTCCCTGCAATTAATCTAATGCTCATCTAATGATGATGAACACTGTTGTATTTATTGGCCATTTAAACATCTTCCTTATGAAGTGCCTGTTCAAATCTTTTTGCCCCTTTTTTTAATTGAATTGCTTGTTTTCATTATTGAGTTGACATATTTTATATATTCCTTTACAAGTTTCTTGTTAGATATGGGTTTTACAAATATTTTTTCCCAGTCTGTGGCTTACCTATTTATTTTCTTAATGGTATCAAATTGAGGAAATTCCTTTCTGTTTCTAATTTGCTGAGAGTTTTATGAATGTGTGTTGAATTTTGTCAGATGTTTTCTGCATTTGTTGAGATGATTGGATAGCTTTTTGTTGGGATGGTCAGACCCAACACCAGGCCGTGGGGGCTATGAAGTCCGGCAGAGTCAAAGGAATGAGAAAAGACAGGTTAAGAGAGAAAGTGGGAACAGGGGGCCAATGCTAGTATGGAGGCTGCCAAGGTCCCAAGCTCTGGGAGCCCATGCTATTTATTGGTGATCAAACAAAGAAACAGATGGTGAGGATGTAGGGGTTAAAAGGAAGCGATGTATCAAGCGAATGAGCTACAGCTGTGATGGTTTAGCATTTTTTTTTGAAACATATGGCTACTTGAGATAATAGGTGTGCTAGAAGCAAGGAGCCAGCAAGTTTAGACAGGTTCCAAAGGCTACAAGGTATTTTAGACCCTGGACCCCAGACATATTCCAAGACTCTTATATTATGTCAGACATGCAAGCCCTGCCTCAGCTTCTCTCCCAACACTCAACTTTTCTCCCAACATGCCCCCCTTTTCTTTTTTGTAAAACCACCACAGCCATCATTGCTTGTTCTTGAGGGCGGCTTTCTTTCCAGTGGCGGCTTCCACATCTGCAGACTAAAAGGAGACAGCACAAGCACATAATTATTGGAACAAAATCTGCAAGTGTAGAGCTTCCAGTG